CCCGGCTAGTTTTTTTGTATTTTTTTAGTAGAGACGGAGTTTCACTGTGTTAGCCAGGATGGTCTCGATCTCCTGACCTCATGATCCGCCCGTCTCGGCCTCCCAAAGTGCTGAGATTACAGGCTTGAGCCACCGCGCCCGGCCAGGATTCTTATGATCATTAAAGTTAATGGATGTGTCCTGGCACAATGGCTCACACCTGTAATTCCAGCACTTTGGGAGGCCTAGGAGGGAGGATTGCTTGAGCCCAGGCATTTGAGGCCAGCCTGGGCAACATGGCAAAACCCCATCTCTATAAAAAACATGAAAATTAGCCAGGCGTGGTGGCACACACCTGTAGTCCCAGCTACTTGGGAGTCTGAGGTAGGAGAATCATTTGAGCCTGGGAAGTTGAGGCTGCAGTGAGCTGAGACTGAGCCACTGCATTCCAGCCTGTGCATCACAGCAAGACCCTATCTCGAAATAAAATTAAATAAGGTGAATGGATGTAAACTTCTAGCACAAGTAATCATTTGATAAATGACACACCTATCATCTTGTTGATTCATGTATTATTCACTGAATATGTATCTAGCTCAAGGAAGCTGGGCAAAGAACAGCTGGTACACATGGTGGCAGCGGAGCATGCAGGTTCCCACTCATCTTACCCGTGACTGAGACTTACCTACCGTCCCTCCTCTTACTCCCCACATCTCTATCGCCAGCATTTTTCTCCTGTCTGCACAAAGAAAGCATACTCCCTGAAGGAAAAAAATGGGCTTCCAGGAGTACTAGGGCTATGTCTCTGGAGGAGCACAGGCAGGCTTGTGTGATGTGTGATGGTAAAGGATTTCTTCAAAGTCATGTTCATGCCTTAGAGAATGCCTGGAGACTATAAGTTTTTAAATTATTTCATTAATCAACTCACTGAAGGTAAGAGAGACAAGCAGTGTCCTAAAAACATGCAGTTATTTTACCTGTAATCCATTTTCCAGTAAGTGACTACTGAGATAGCTGGAGCACAAGAATAGGTAATGGCTTTGTTTTCCCAAGATGTAGTCACTGCGATTATTTTTAGATGAAAGATTTGGAGCCAGAAGCACAACTCATAATTATGTTGCTGTGATTCTACAACCAGTTGTTCTGTAGAATTAATTCAACTGTGAAAACTTTAAAGTTACCACATTTTCTGAAAAGCCTGAAAAACTGAAAGTAAAATATTCTGTGACACGCAGTGCTGTTTCCTGAGAACATCTACCATCGCTCCACTTTGCAGCTTTTATGCCTCCTGCTTAGCCCCCCTTTCATCCCAGTTCTTACCCTGCTCTATGAATTACTAAAGTCCACTGATAGTCCTTCCTTCGTGAAGCATTCCTGAAGACCCCAGCCTAGCAGATCTCCCCTTCCTCTGACCTCCTGTATTGGTAGTGTATTGTCTACACCTTTCTTAGAACCCCTCATTTTCTCCCGTGAATTCTAGTTTATTTTCGTATCTATCTCACTATTGTCAAAGCTAGATTTGTACTATGTAATATAGTTGGCTATTCATATCCATTGGTTTCACATCTGCAGATTCAACCAACCATGAATTTAACCAACTGTGAATTCAACCAGTGACTGATTATAACCATTTGGAAAAAGGTCAGGTGCAGTGGCTCACACCATAATCTCAGGACTTT